GTATACCAGTAGGTTGGAAATGCGATGGTACCGATGACTGTGGCGATAATTCAGATGAGGTAGACTGCGCTCCTCCAACATGCCGACCAGATGAGTTCCAATGTGATAATGGTAAATGCATACCAACAGGTTGGAAATGCGATCGTACCGATGACTGTGGCGATAATTCAGATGAGGTAGACTGCGCTCCTCCAACATGCCGACCAGATGAGTTCCAATGCGGTAATGGTAAATGTATACCAACAGGTTGGAAATGCGATGATACCGATGACTGTTTTGATAATTCAGATGAGGTTGACTGCTTTACCACAACATGCTCACCTGGACAATTCAAATGTAGTAATGGTAGATGTATACCAGTAATTTGGAAATGTGATCGTGCCGATGATTGTGGTGATAGTTCAGACGAGGTCGACTGCCTTACCACAACATGCTCATCTGGACAATTTCAATGTAATAATGGTAGCATTGAATGTATACCAACAAGTTGGAAATGCGATGGTACCAATGACTGTGTTGATGGTTCAGACGAGATGGTTTGTTCTACCACAGCATGCTCAGCTGGACAATTTCATTGCGATAATGGTAACTGTATACCAGCACGTTGGAAATGCGATAGTGAGGATGATTGCGGTGATGGTTCGGATGAAGTGGATTGCGCTTTTCCAACGTGCACATCAGATGAGTTCCAATGTCGCAATGGAAGTTTAATGTGCATTCCCGCATTTTGGGTCTGTGATAATGATATTGATTGCAGTGATTCTTCAGATGAAAACAATTGCAGCAGACCTACATCATCAACAAGTTGCAATTCTCAGAGAGAGTTTAGATGTCACAACGGTGATTGTATTCTCATATCATGGCAGTGCGATGGTGATCCTGATTGTGACGATGGATCTGATGAAGAAATGTGCAGAGTCCTCCAATCTACCTGCTCGCCAGATGAGTTTCAATGCGGTGATGGAAGCTGCATCCCCAAACAACTAACGTGTAATGGAAATAGTGAATGCTTCGATAACTCCGACGAGAATTTTAAACTTTGTAAGTAAACCACAACCATCATTGTTCCGTATTTTTTCAATCTAGACAATAACTCTCCCAGTTAACAACACATTGTGAACAAAATGACGTCTTAACACAAAGTTAAATAAGTGTCAGCAACATGTGGTGTTTGAATTGAACGTTATTTGTGGATGTTGATATTTTGAACCTTAAACTTTAACGTTAGGCTTAATTGTAATGTTGACAATAATTTAGAGCTGTTTTACTCGGAAAATTAAGTGGAAATGTGGTTAAGATGCTTGCCTTTCAGTTACACTTAACAATAGACCTTTCCGGAATGTCAATCAAACTTAACAACTGACTAATCAGAACAACCCTAGGAATACGCGCGCGTCTTACAAACACACGTGTTGTCCCACAAACGCACGTGTTCGCGTATGTTTTAACACTGCCGTCTTGTGGGACCTTAGCAACAAAATCCAAGGGGCGGAGCTTAGTGGAAAGTTCCATTTAAAACCAAAATTACCAACTTACCAATCAGAACAATGCCATAAACACGGTCGTGTCAAACATACACACGTGTTGAATTGAATTAAATTGATTTTTTTTTCATTGTAAACACCAAGAATAGCCCACGAAAGTCCAGAAGACTTATTTCCAATGGGGTGCTTCTGGTGGTGATTGGGCAATACACCGGGAGACAATCCCCTACTCTTTTCCGAATAGTGTACTGCGTTCTTTAACGTGCACATGGGCCATAAATGCACACGGGACCAACGGCTTAAACGTCTCATCCGAAAGACGGTGCGCTAATTGTAACTTGTATTTCAGCCCTCCAGCTGAAATACTGAGTTTGAGTCTGAGAAATGTTTATTTTCACACAAAATCAAATAGTCAATACATAAAAGAATAATATAATGGTGTGAAAAAATGTCCACCACCACTTTTGAACTGTGGCGCCCTTAAATACAAGGAGAGGCAGCGATGGGAATTAACCCGGGGACCTAGAGATCTCCACGGTTCAGCGCACACACAGTGGCTACCACCAGATCAGACGATTGAGCTAAGCTTCTCTCACATTACATAAGCGCACTTGTTTACGTACATTTACGCTATTGTTTTGTGAAAACTTAGCGGCAATATGTAAGGTACATGTAACCATGAACATTATTATGTTTTTTCATGGCAAGCTAATAACCACAGGTAGTATATCTTAATTTTATAATAGTCCTAAGTATAAAATTGTTGAAAATTTCATTAACTCATCTAATACGCTATAATAGTAAACATCACCATAATGTACATTAGTCCACTGTGTTGCTATTGTATTTGGCTATAGTTGTGTTTGCTAGAAGTTTCTTTATTTCTATTCACAGGCCAAGCTCCGTTATGTATGAAGCATCGGTGTAGCCAACTTTGTGAAGATACGCAGGACGGGGTTAAGTGCACATGCGTTGATGGTTACCAACTGGCTAGTGATAATCGTTCCTGTGTTGCCGACAGTGATGTAGTACCAAACTTATTGGTCACTGGACATCGCTCCACTATATATAAATTCCCAATTTTGGACCTAGTTATCGGACCTACTGCAAACAAAACGGAGACTGTAATTGGAGCTAATATTATTGCGATTGATTATAATCTACGTCAGAATAATTTATACTGGAGCGATTTGTCAAAGTCATCTATATATAGGTATGTTTTTCATGTTATTATTTTGATCATGACCATCGTCATCATCACCATAATCATAATGGTCATTTTTTTGATCAGACACTAGGCTTACACATCTTAAACTTGTCTGCCCTTTCATTTTTCTTCTCCTAGAAGGAGGCTTAGGTGTAGGAGCATCTACACATACAGCTTTTTTAACCAACTTTTTTCTTCATTTCAGATGGTCACTTGATTTTGATAAAAGCTCGAGTAAAGAAATTATAACGAATACGTCCGAAAGCTGTGATGGCATTGCAGTTGATTGGATACACAATAATTTGTACTACACAGACACTGGGAATGACGTCATTAGAGTGGTGGATCTTGACAGCTTGTTAGAAGTGACGCTGGTAGCTGGTAATTTGTCTGAACCAAGAGCGATTGTTGTACATCCAGGAATTGGGTAAATATGTTTGTTTAGTTACAAAATTTTAATTAGAATGTCATTTTTAAGTCAAAGGCACCTGGTCTGAGATTTTTTATTTTTCTGACATCTAGTGGTAAACTAACCTATGCCTACTTTTTCACCTTAATTTTAACTAAAAGGTGGATGTGACCCATCCGAGGGGAACTATCAATAAACTGTCGAGGTATTGGTATTGTTGAAAGTATGCTAGTATACCGCCAAAGCTGCATTTATCATGACTGTTGCTTTAAGATAATTAATTTTCAACTCCGGAAGTGTTTATTATTAGTAGTAGTATTAGTAGGACTTGTATGGTCGATTGACGTTTGCTGTTATATAGCACAGAAAGTAATTTAGTTATGTGGCTATAACATAACTTTAAATTAGTGAATTAATTGAGGTTTACTTTTTGCCAATTATCGATGATTTGATTAAATTCACTATAAGTGACCCTGGGCCTATGTTTGAAACTATCATTGGTATGTGTGATGAGGAGAGAAAAACACAATTGGGTAGCGGGTGGGGGTGGCTTTATGCAACAACGTTCTCCCGTCGAGGCCATCGAATCACGCCGGTCAGCATATCCCGCGCTACCCCTGTCGTTATATTTTTTACGTTTGTTTGTGTATGCATTTCCGAAAAAAAAAAATATATAAAATATAATTTATAACGGAAAAAGCAATTTCAACATAAATTACTTTGATGGTGATCAAATTTCTAGTAACATATTCTATCGACAGGTATTTTTTCTGGACAGACTGGGGAACTGGAGTAATATCCAAGGCGGGAATGGACGGTTCAAATCGACAGACAATTGTTAATGGCCTTGGCTGGCCGAATGGTTTGACTATTGACTACCCAGCATCCACTCTGTACTGGGTTGATGCCAAACTAGACATCCTCCAAGTAAGCGATTTTAATGGCGACAACGTACAGACAATATACTCCTCGGCACCTTTGATTAACCATCCGTTCGCAATAACTGTTTTTGAAGATGTTCTGTACTGGACTGATTGGTCGATCCACGGTATAGTGTCAGCAAATAAATTCGATCCCAAGTCAACAGCGGCGGAACATTTTGCGGGTTCATTGCGAACCCCTATGGGTTTGACAATTGTTCATCCCCTTCGACAACCAGGTAAGACCAACCGTACGAGATATCTGTATATGTATTTTTGAATCTTCATATTTAGAAGTTATAGTAATTCAGGTATAGAGCCATATATATATATATATATATATATATATATATATATAGTTAGCTGAAAGATAGTTCATCTTTTGAAGTTTCTTTTCCTGTTTTCTGTAAAAC